GTAGGTACAAAAAAAAATGTATAACCCCTTCCCAACCTGAAAGCATATAGTGGCGGGGTTGAGTTTTCAAATAACTTGAAGCCTTGTTGTTTCACATATTGTTCCAACTACCAGCAAATTCAATTGATTTTTATATGTGCTTCTCATTGAAAAGTATAAAGCTATAAAAAAAGAAACCCTGACTGCTCTGCAGTTTATAAACGTTCCAATAGTTACCCCCTTGGCATCTCATAATAATATAACCAATTCACCTTATAGTGCCAAAGGAGTAGATCCAATTAGAATTTAGAAGTTGATTTTTGCGGAGGGAGAAAAACCGGAGAACCCGGAGAAAAATCCTCAAAGCACAGGAGAGAACCAATCAACAAGCAGCTCTACTCATATACTACACAGAGCTTGGCAGACTCGAACCCGGGCCGCATTGGTGAAAGGCGATGTAATAACTCGCACAAAATGTAATAACAACGCAAAATGTAATAACTTTTGACGCAAATCGTAATATCTCGCAATTTGAATGTAGTCTAACCAGTTTTTTCCAGACGATTCTCTATTCTGTTCTGTTCTGTTCTACTGCGTCGTTTACGCGTCCATTCAGTAAATATTGGTTTTAAAATGCGTTATTGAAGTTATTACATTTTGCGCTAAAAGTTATTACATTTAGCGTCAAAAGTTATTACATCTTGCCTTGTTATTAAATTTTGTGCGAGTTATTACATTTTGTGGCGTAACAGACGCATTGGCAGCGCACGCTACCCGTGCTTCCAATAATGTTTTAAATAAAACAATAGAATTCAAGATCAATCAATCAATATCAATCAATAATTTATTTAAACACGTATCGTCCAAGAGCTTATAAAGCTCGTTCAAAATACGAACGTGTAAAAGATGACCGCCGTTTCGCTTAAAAAGGTCTATTAGCTCCTTGCCACCATGTCTATATAAAATCAGTATTTCTTGTTACTTTCACTACCTTCTCAGCTTCTTTGGTCTCATCAAAAAGTCTTTTCTGTCTCCTGATGGGAATTGGCTTGGCGCTGTGCCAAACTTCAGCCCAAATGTTACCAGGTATGCGCATGCGTAGACTCAAATGCCCTTCCTCCATCCACTGTAGAAGATATAAAAACATACTAAATTATGAGCTGTTTAATTAGGATACAAATAGATTCACTTTTCATTTGCATTGCTATTGCATGTAGTAATGGGATCCTGATCTCTGAATATGCTGGCTCACAGACCCAGTATGAGAGATGGATGCTTCTAGTAATGGGCTCCTGATCTGGGAATATGTTGGCTCACAGACCCAGTATGGGTGACAGAAGCTCCTGATAGTGGGCTCTTATGCTTCTCGACATACCTTGTTCACAGCTTTTAGCTCTGGAACGTGTCCAGCTTTAGCTTCATTCATTAGGTCCACGGCTGCCTCTCGTTCCTCTTCTTCTAGTTCTTCTTCTGTTAACTCTAACTCTTCTTCTTCCCATCCATCTGTCACGTTTGGCGTCTCTACTGACTTACCTACAAAAGAATAGAACCTAAGCATATATATTCGAAAAAACCATTCCCAATAAAGAATAGAATATTAAAATTATAGCGATCTCTTCCGAAATCGCGAAATTATAGTGTCGCGAAATTACGAAATTAAAGCATTGCGAAAATTGCGATCTCCAAAATTGCGAAATTAAGGTATCGCGAAAATTGCGATCTCCAGAATTGCGAAATTAAAGTGTCGCGAAATTGCGATCTCCAGAATTGCGAAATTAAAGTGTCGCGAAATTACGATTTCCAAAATTGCGAAATTAAAGTATCGCGAAATTGCGATCTCCAAAATTGCGAAATTAAAGTATCGCGAAATTGCGATCTCCAGAATTGCGAAATTAAAGTGTCGCGAAATTACGATTTCCAAATTTGCGAAATCAAAGTATCGCGAAAATTTCGTGTAACAAGGTTCGTATTATGAAACTGCTTTTAGACCCAACCTGAATGGGAATATAAAAATTTTACCGCCTGTCTCTTGTTTCTCTTGTTCTACATCAACTTCGAGAAGTTTTAATTCCTCCGCTTCTTCTGTTGTCTCTTTGCCTGGTATCCAATCGTTAGGTGAATACCAGCGGACAAAATCCCCAAGTAAACAGCCAGGGTTTGCAGCCTACAACAACAAACAAAATATCTTTCGTTTTCATACTTACCACAATTGCTGCTAAAAAATAGGGGTTTGCGAAGGAAGGAAAACTAGAGAACACGAAAACGTATCATATCATATCTACCAAGAACTATAGAACTATGGAACAGCCTACCAACTGAGCTGAAAACCACGCCAATGTCCTTGGCGAAATTTAAAAAGTTAATTTCTGAACACTATGACCAGAAATTATCATCCTATCAGCCACCTCAGTAACTCATTATATAATCAATTAGTCAAGTATTTTTGATAAAATATGTAATGTTATAACTTTTAGACCATTCCTCTCTTGCTATTTCTGATTTTTTTTACGACGCAAAAGAGTTCTAAGAAGTTCAATGTCCTTGGAGAAATTCAAAAAGCTTATTTCTCACTATATAATGAATTAGTCCAGTATTCTTTGATAAAATATTTAAGGTCATAACTTTTAGACCTCTCCACTCTTGATATTTCATACTAATTTTTTCATAATGCAAAATTGTTCTAAGAAGTACTTCCTGGTATTTTTTCAGTTTTACAACAATGGGGGAAGGTTGTCAATTGGGACGCAAGTCCTGTATCCTCCTCCTGTCACGTTTTATCATAATAACCTACATCTTTTTCACTATTTTTTCCTTTTTATCTCTATGTAACTATATTTAGCTCACTTAATTTATTAGATCACATATTGTACCTCAGGTTGTAAATAGTGACGAATAAACTAAACTAAACTAAACTAAACTAAACCCTGATGAATTTCCTGTGGTTTTGGCGGGAACCTTCGAGCCAAAACGCGCGCGCTCTCGCCTCTAAAAGTCTTTTACCACTCTGGTAACACACCTCCAGCCTCAAGTCTGTTTACGAACAAGCAGTCATTAGAGCAGTTTCGTATTATTGCGAAAAAGTCGGTGCCGTATGCGTGCCTTGCCACGACCGTGATGTTTTCTAGAATTTTGATTGGGGATTTTTTAATCGCGCAACGTGATTGGTCTGGCAGTGCCCCGACCTTGGCTTGACCGTGTTCACCGTGTAAATTCTCGTGTAATGTGAATGGTCTGGCGTATGTCTTGCCATGTCACGTCCGTGTAAGTGCCGTGAGCTTTTCACAGTCATACGAAAACTACTCCTAAGCGTTTACCTTAGAGAGTGACCGTACCTTGAAAGCTTCCATATCAGAGAGTAAAGAAGCACTCTGCATCTGTGCCCTGACGCGAGCCCCTTCCTGCGTGGTTCCTAACTGAGAAAGAACTTCAGCGTGTTCTTGAAGCATGTCTTCGGTCATTGGTGCTGGCTCCTTCAAAATAAAATAAGTTTTTAAAATACTTCTGTAAACTGGATGACAAGAATAAGATTTTAAGCAATTTGAATGAAACATTCATAAATTTGAATCGTTGACCTGCGAAATAAAGCCATTAAGTAATTTTTGCTCAATGTGCCTTTGGATGGGCTTATTTTGAGAGAAGGCTTATTTTAATAGAAGGCTTAATTTCCAAGGAGTTTATCTTTCTCGAGAAAATAGAGTTTTAATGGACGTTAACCAAAATGTTTCCATGACATTGTCGGAAAACACGAACCTTTCAAGTGCCTATGAAATGTCATGGAAACGCCTTGATTGACGTCCGCCAAAACCTACTTCGTCGCGGAGTACGATTTCGCACACCTGATTGAGAAGTGCTGTAACATAACAGGATTACGTCTGATGTATCATGAATTTAAGGCTCAGGTCAAACGTCGAACTTCACATGAGCCGAACCTAATTGAAGCAATGGATAGCAAGGCGGTCTTCTTTGAAGTGATTAGGTTCGGCTCATGTGAAGTTCGACGTTTGACATGAGCCTAAGTTCACAGATTCATTCACCTGCGTAATAGGTATATACAGAGGTTCGTCACAAGCTAAAAGGCGAAGATCACCACATTGTCTCAGTCTTCCTTTTACAATGAAATTATTCTCCTCTTCTGAAAGCTTTTTCTCTAGGACACTCAAACTTTCTACGGCCTCAAAAAATTCATCATCATCTGAGCTACTCGTGGATGATGCTGGTTGACTATTCTTATCTTTATTGTTTTGATTATCAAGAGATTTTGAGGGAGATTCACCACATGAGCTGGAGGAGGCCCTCATTTTGGAGATTCTTCTTCTTTCAATACAACAATTTAACATCTGAAATAAAAGACAAAAATATAGAATTATTCGTTTGCACGTGACGTCATTGCCGCCATGTTGGTGCCTTTATCAACATAAGATTTCTCATTAGCATCCATTGTTAACCGCACCAAGATGGTCGTCATGTTTTTGGATTTTGACACTCTTGGGAATGCTTGCAGCCTAACAATAGACTCAGATTGCAGTCTGTCGAAATGCAGCTAAATTTGGAGGACATAACACTGAACAGGTTTCCAATTGCTGGCTTTCACTTTACGTCATTTTCTGTCTCGTGCGGAATGTTCATCACCCGAATCACAAGTTTTCAATAGAATTCTTTCTGGCTGACAGTACATGGTGGTCAGTGTTTGACCACCATTTGAAGCAGATAATGAGATTCAAAAACTTTTATCAGCTGATTGAAAGCCAGCAATAGCAGATATCGGAGTTACACTCTATTGCCTTCAGACAATTGTTACATTTGGGTCAGTTTCTATATTTTATTGTATTGACCCAAATACCTCGACTTGAAACAATTGTTTGAAGGCAACAGAAATTCTTTTGAAATTCCTTTTTCTTTTTCTTTCTTTCTTTCTTTYTTTTTTGTTGAAATTTTTGTTTTGTCCTCCAAATTGAGGTGCTTGGACGTCACATGCAAGGGGTCTATATCTCTATGCCTTGTACTAGAAAGCTTTGGTCGCACTTTAACAACAAAATTTTATAAGAGATAAACAATAGCTTCTGCATGACACATTTACTAACCTGTAGCTTTTGGTGAATTAAACAGTATCCTAAGTCAGGTGGTTCTAACTTTAATCTTTCAAAATAAAGAAAACAAAAATAGGCAATTACTCAATAGAAATTGAAAGCGTTTTTCACCTAGTGAAGTATGGAATTGATTCATACCTTGGTATAAATACATCATTTTCCCATCTATATCTCATTTCTAACACAAATTCATGCCATAAGTGAGCTACTGCTCGTAGACCTGTGAAAATATCAAAAAAGTCATGACACAATTGCAAGCCCCATCTTGTACTCTCACTGGTATTTAGTGCCTCTAGAGAGTGGTATTGTTTATTGGCACAAGCTTGACTGAAAGATGGTCAGACATACAGACAGCAAGACTGACTGACAGATGGTCAAACAGACGGAGACTGACTGACAGATGGACAGACAGGCAGACAGATTGCAAGACAGATGGTACAATGACAAAAAACTTAAACTTTATGAAAAGCTATTTTGACACAAGGGTGTTCTTGGTGAGTTTGTCTTTTGTGTATTCATTGTATTTAAAATTGTATTATTGTGCTTTAGGTAACACTAATAAAGCCAAGCCAATCACATTATTATCGTCACTGACTTACCACCATAATTATTATACACGATACAAATACAGACAGCCAAGAAATATGTCAAACTGTCTTCAGGTGCTGACTTGAGCCCTCGAAACTTGTCCTGTCAATCAAAATATCACAGTCAAACAGATATATAGCAGGTGTTGTAGAACATTTCTAGGATTACAGACTTTGGCAGTTATAGCCAAAAATCCAGTATTGACTCTCATAGCGCTCGGACACTTGGTTTCTGAATACAAGGTCCCTGCAACCTTATATTCAGTTACAGTAAAGGCCTATGCTAAGGACGTTCATGGACAAGAGTTCCCATTGTCAGAATGTTTTTAAAACTTTTGCACGATGAAAGTACATCATACTAGAAGTAAAATGAACAAATAGAATACGGGGGTCACCAACTCTGTTTTGTCGTCAGAAAGCGTGGAAGTTCACGGCTTTTTTACGGTAAAAACGCATGCACGAAAACATAGAAAGTGGTAAAAAATTAGTATTCCATATTTTCCCCGTCTTCTCCGGTTTTCCTCCCTCCTCAAAAATCAACTACCAATTTCTAATTCGATCTTTGGGCTTTCACCTAGTTTGGAGCCTAGCTCTGTTGTGTTTGTCCCACGCTGTGATACAACAGCTAAAGTTAGTAGACTTTTTTTTAGATTTTAGTTATCTCCTGATTGTGCCATTTTCCACTGAACTCTTGAAAACGTTACTTGAAATTCTATTTCATTTAAGTACTAAAATTTCAATTTGATTCCATCGTCATATTTTTTAGATTTTTCTCTAAAGCTAGGTAATAAAATAACGCACACACACTAAACTCATGCGTAGAAAGAATGCGTCTTAACAAAGCCCATTAACGTCCTTAAGAGTAGCTCACCTTTAAAGCATTTTTCAATTTTTCCTGATCCTGATCCTTCTGTTGGTGTACTTGTTGCTGTTTCGCTTCCACTGATTCAATATCTTCTTCAGCATCTGGGAAAAGATGCTGCACAAATGGGAGAAATGAATGGAGGAATAGAAAACAAGAATGCATGCGTGCACTGGCACAACAGGAGAAAAGTGTAAGGATAAGCAAAACACACATTAGATTGCTTCTCAAAAAAAAAAGAACTTTGGTGTTAACTTTGACCAGTTACTTTCAGTCCTAGGACTGAATTAATCTTGTTCCAGTTACTCCAGACTGAATTCAGTCCTTTCACAGGACTTTACCAGGTTTCAAGTAACATCATGTGACCCAAAAATAGCCCATTTATTGGCTGGTTTGCTCATGAATTATTAATGAGTATGAGAAATAGATTTAATGATCCATACTGAAGCCATCATCAGGTAAAGGTGTGCATATTTAGAAAAGCATATCATCTCTAAATATGCACATAATTATCCTTACCTGACAATGGCTTCAGCATGAATCCGAAACATTGTAACCCATTATYCTTAATTTTCATCTTAAATCTATTTAAGAAATACCATTAGAATTTGGTTGAGCAGTTCCTCTGGTATTGGGTACTCCTGTGGCATCACATCACTCAGAACAGGGATTTTTGTTGTTGCCTTAGAAACAGCTGAAGATAGTGAAGTCACAGGGATCCCATGACCGGGGTCTGTCAGCTTTTGCAATGCTTGTGTTATGTCTGCAGCTGAATCAAAAGGAATGAGGATGAACTATTACGGGTGGTTGAGATGTACAGAGAGAACAAACTTAATTTGTACCAATGTTTTTGTTCTAATTTGATACATCATTTTATGGTAAACAGATTGAGGGGTACCAACTTCCAAAAATAACTGGAAAGCTAAAAGTGCTTGGAAGTCGGTTTACATATTCTTAATTAAAAGTCATTACATTTAGGGTCGGGATTTCTGCTATTTGCAATTATAATAATCAGCGTAATAACACACCGTATGAACACATAGCAAAAAAATCAATGTGATTGAAAAAATGACAAAAAAAAGGCACAAAATCTATACAAATACACACAGCACACAAGAGCATCATCAGTCTTTACAGTATATTTAAGTTAATTTGCAAAAGTATTAAAACTTTTAATGAATGAAAGGGTTTACCAGTTGGTTGAATTGAATGAAAATGAATGGATGGATAATTGAAAGTTGAAAGAATGAAAGAATATAAAATGGGATGGAAGATAGAAATCATAGGTGAATGGGTAGATAGATAGGATAAATTGATGGATCGATGGATGGGATGAAGCCGATGGATGAATGGGATAAGATGGATGGGAAAAATGGGTAGATGGATAAATGAATGGATGGATGGATAGATAGGATAGGATACACTGGATGAACAGCATGAATGGGATGGATGGGATGGGATAAATGCTATGATGGATAGAGGAATGAATGAATAAACAGATGGATAGGAGAGGATTTACTGGAAGAACAGAATAAATGGGATAGGTGGGATGGATAGATGGGAAAAATTGCCATGATGGATAGAATGAACAGAATGTGTGGGATGGATGCATGCATGGATGGATGCATGGAATGGAATATATTACATAATAATCCTTACTTTCACTGTCGTCCATTTCTGTATTCAATAACTGCATTGTTGATTCTTGTTTATAGCATAAATTCATGTAGCCACCAATATATTCACCTAGTTAGTTTAAGAGACAGTAGTATGAAAAATAAATTACAGTGCTCCCTTTTCAAAAGCACAAAATCATACAATTCGCTGTAGGTTTTGGTGGACGTCAACCAAGGTTTTTTTCCTGACATTCAATAAGCACATGCCCTTGAAAGCTTTGCRTTTTCCAACAATGTCATGGAAACACTTTGATTGACATCAAGACCTTGTTTTGTTGTGACAGAAAGTTGTACGATTTCAAGCGTGTTATTGAGAAGTGTTGTTAATAAACTAATATAATATACGATAACACAATTCTAAGAGGTTTAAAAAAATCCTAAATATTAAAACTTAAATGGTTTGAAGAAACCATGTGTGCTACTGTTATCTTAGCTTAGCTTAGCTATAACACCATACTGACAGTAATACAAACTTTAATATTTGTAAATTAATAATGATGATGGTGATACTGATGCTAATGATGATGGTGAAGATGATAATGATGAAGATAATGATAATGATGTTGATGATGATGGTAATAATGATGGTGTTGATGATGGTGATGATGATGATGGTGTTGA